AATTTAAAAGAAAAATGGAAATGAATTATTTGGATTATAAAATGTTTATGAATGCTAAAAACATACATGCGCTACCATTTTATTATTATTAAATTATTATTAGATTTTTAGGACCATTCAATTATTTGGACAGTAACTTTTCAAGAATATTGAAAATCTGGAAAAATGTACTGCCTAAATCATAATAATAATTTATGAAAATACAAAATGTATATTAAAAATAAAATGATTTATTTGAATTATAATATTTTAATTAACACTGAAAATGTACTTTACAATTTAAATAATAACAATAATGATGTAAAAATTATGAAGATTATTGGAAATTTTGAAATAATTTTTTTTAATCATTAAATTATTTTTGATTGTACATTTTCATGAATATGTATTATTATTATTGTTGTTAATAATAATAAATTATAGTTAAAAATAAAGACCATTTCATGTATATTGAATACTGGGAAAAAAATGTACAACCTTAATAATAATAATAATAATGTGAAAATTGTGACATTATTAAAAACATTGGATTATTATTGGAAATTATTAAATAACAATTTAAGTTTATTTTTAAAACCATTTAATTATTTTGATTGCAACATTGTACATTTTTATGAATACTGAAAAATGTAAAAATGTATTATTACTATTATTATTAATGTTGTCGAACATTATTAAATAAATATTTATAAGCACATTAATGGGAATGACAGCATGGGTTAAAATGAAAGGTGTGCTTCATAATATCATACAGACTACATTAATTATATTAATTGATGGTACTTATGTAAATGTTCCTTATACGAAATGATTTCTTTTTTAAAACTTCAGTTACGGCCCAGACATCTTTAGGCAGTTCCCATGAGTTTCATTCTCAAATAAACGCGCACACGGATGTAGCCTATTGAGAGCTCAAGCTTTCAGTGCCAAGTACACAAACACACATAAACACTGTTATCAAGCTGCAGGGCGTTCATTGACCAACACACACGACATCAAAACGCTGCACCCACCGAACCCACCTGCCCACACACACAGGCCTGTCACTGCAGAGCTGAAAGGAAACAGACTGGTGGAGAATAATTACACAATCACCCTCTTTCCCTATGTCACCTCTGCTTTCTCTCCTCAACCTGATAGACCCACTCGGAATGAGCAACTGCTGGATGTCTTTACAACGGTCTTTGAAAAAGTGCCTTCCTTTCCGTTTATTTATTTAGACTTCTGTGAGTTGGGTTAACGTTAACCTGGTGAGAATAGTCACGTTCACCCCTTCTGGTAAAATTCGTAACTACACCATAACAGAATTAATTATAATATATATGCTCAATGCTCAATTTTTGGGGGGGGGTTTCTGCAGCAACTCAGAGCACTTTTCATACTCTTTATCCTGGCTGAAGCATATTAGGAATTAATACTTTTATTTAGCAAGGATGCTTTAAATTGATCAAAAGGGATGATAAAGACATTTATAATGTTACAAAATATTTCTATTTCAGATAAATGCTGTTCTTCTGAACTTTCTATTAATCAAAGAAACCTTAAATTCTACTCGGCTGTTTTCAACATCATAAATGTTTTTTGAGCAGCAAATCAGAATATTAGAATGATTTCTGAAGGATCATGTGACTGGAGTAATGACGCTAAAAAATGAGCTTTGAAATCACAGGAATAAATTACATTTCAAAATATTTCCTATTAGAAAGTTATTTTAAATAGTAAAAAATATATTTAGGATCAAATAAATGCAGGCTTGATGAGCAGAAGAGAATTCTTTAAAAAAACATTAAAAATCTTACTGTTCAAAAACTTTTGACTGGTAGTGTATGTTAGCCTATAGTTTGAAGGCAAATTTGGAAAGATTATTTTGTGAAGCTCTATACACGTCAAACTGACCCTCTGACTAATCCCAACCAATTAAAAGTCCTTGAAAAATTGAATGCTCTTGAATCATGTAGCAAAAACAACCAACAGCCACTAGATTATCCAATAACCCAACAAGAACTTGTTGGAAAACTGAAATCCCTCAAATGCAAGAAATCCTGTGGCCCTGACAACATAAAAAATTAGATGCTTAAAAACAGCTCTCCTGAATTTCAGATTGCATTACTCAAACTTTTTAACTTGATTTTGAGTTCAGGCGTTTTTCCTGGTGTCTGGAACACAGGACTCACCTCTCCTATCTTTAAAAGTAGAGACAAAACAGATCCTAATAACTACAGAGGGATATGTAACCAGTAATTAGGGAAAAGTATTTTGCTCTATAATCAACTCTCGGATTTAATCTTTCTTAAAGCAGCACAATGTCATCAGCAAATCGGCTTCCTCCCTAAACATTGAACCACTGACCATATTCATACACTACACAAGTTAATAAATGAACATATACACCAAAAGAAAGATGGAAAAATATTTGCATGCTTCATAGATTTTAAGAAGGATTTTGACTCCATTTGGCATAATGGATTGTTTTATAAAATCACTCCAAGTGGCATAGGGGGTAAAATATATGACTTAATAAAAAACATGCATAACCAAAATAAAATAAATGTGCAGTAAAAATTGGAAAGCAAAGGACAGACTATTTTTCTCAACAGCGAGGAGTGAGACAGGGCTGCTGCCTCAGCCCAACTTTATTTAACATATATATCAATGAATTGGCAGATCTACTGGACCAATCAAAATCAACACAGAAGTCAAATATTTACTGTATGCAGACGACTTGCTAATTCTATCTAAAACACCAGAAGGTCACCAGAACAACCTTGACATTTTAACTAAATACTGCCATGATTGGGCCTTAGATGTCAACATCCAAAAAACTAAGATTATGATATTTCAGAGAAGACACAGAAGTCTAGAACATAAACATATATTTACTTTAAACAACACCACACTTCAACATGCTTTACAATATAATTATTTGGTCTGGTTTTAACTCCCACTGGAAATTTCAAATGGGAAATTAAAACATTACTTATAAAAGCTCGCAGGGCACTGCACACCATACGAACAAAATTATTCAAAATAAACATCCCCATCAGAATTTGGACAAAGATTTTCGATAGTGTCATACTGCCAGTTGCCCTGTATGGAAGCGAGATATGTGGCCCAGTAACTACAGCCATAAGGATTGGCACAAACACCCTTTAGAAGTAGTGATGTGTCGCTCGCGAACAGCCGATTCTTTGTAGCGAATGAGAAGAGCCGACTCCCGTTGGGGAGAGCCAAATCTTAAGGCGCTCCGGCCTTCCATTTTAGGCCAATTTAGCAATTGTGAATGGTTTGTGTGTTGGTAAGCAATTTTTTATTTAGTGTTTTCATGAAAGCCTTATTTTTATAATCGGGGGACACAAGCTCTGAAGATAGCAAGTGTAGTGGTACAGGCCAGGTACACAGAGCGACAGAGAGAGAGACGGGGGAGCCAGATGATTTAAACCTATACAGTCTATGATTTAAATGCAACGCCTTGGTTAAGGTAATGGTAGGAAGACACTGCATTGTTGCAACATCAGTCCCATCAGAGAGAGTCTTCTCAAAAACAAGACAAATAATCACAGAGAGGTTATTATTTGCAGCCTTGAAGAGCATAAGAGACTGTGAATAAATAAAAATTATTGATCGCAAAGCAGCACACATATAAATATACATAAATACATATATTTGATTGTCTTGTCTAAAATAAATAGCATAATATTATTTATATTGTATTATAATTGTATATTAAATAAATATTATATAATATATTATTTTCCTTTGAAAAAAAAATTGTGACACTTAAATATATTCCGCAATATACAATTTAATATAATAGTTACAATAAACAATTTAAAAGGGCATTTAAAAGCGTGACGTTCTTGTGGTACTGTGGTGGCATTATAAACCTCCCTGTGTCCGACTACAAGATGAATACGAGCATGTGAGGGCTTTTATTATCTCCAGCTGCTTTTATGGCCACACAGATCATGTGGTGAGCAGACTGCAGAAAATTAGATTGTGAAACTTCTTCTCTGGTTGGTTTGATTTGGTCTACTGAATGTCACAAGTGGACATAAAGACTTATGGGGCTGAAAGAAAACTTCCCAAATTTGTGTTGTAAAACAAGTAAAAGGGCCATTTAATACTATACTGTAATACTTTGAGGTAGAAAGTTCATCGGATCTTAGGGGAAAAAATGAATATGGCATTTCTCATTTATATGTACGCATATGCTTAACAGATCAATAGCATGCATTCATTCAAAGAGGTCTATATTAATATAGTTATATATCTAATATAGTTATATTATTATAGTTATATATAGCACACTCATCTCAATAAGGTTCACAGGTTTGAGCACAATGTTGCCAATAAAATATCAAATGAAAAAATAAATTAAAAATATATTAATTTACATAAAATATAAGGCAGATTGGTAGTAATATATTTATATAATATTCTAATTTGTTTTGAATTTTATATAAATAAAAACATGATTATCAGATAAGAAAAAAACTTGTGGGGTTCATGTCAGTGCTGCTGTCATTGAAGCAAAAATGTATGTTAACTTTACTCAGATTAGGCTGCTGATAACATCACGTGTAATGAATGAAAAATAAATAAATACTAAATAACTAAAAAGTATTTGCACTAGTAGATTTAGACTATCCAGTTGCTAAATTAAACAGAAATCCACCAGCTAAAGAAAACATTAAGATGGCAAGAAAGAAAGTCATCAGTCAAACACTCAATCAATCATCAAATATTAAACTTATTAAAATGCTAAATAAATAACATTAAATCAGTTTTCCAAAGGTCCATTCACATGATCAAAGTGCACTCAAAAGTTCATCAAAGGCTTTTCAACACTAAACAAGCCAAGCCAAGTAAATACTCAACTAATCCAACATATAAACAAATACAGACCAATATTTCAAAGGTTTCAGCTTCTCCAGCCCAAACATAAGCACTTCAAAGGGTAATCAGCCACCAGCAGACATAACACAAAAAATCAAACTCACTCAGGGGAAGATGATGTGGTTGGTTAGGCCTTACATTGTATAATCCACACTGGAATTAAGCTAGTTTGTTTGGTGTGCCAAACTCAGTTTGTTCACAATGACCACCTCCCACTTGATTGCTTGATTCATTTGATTGGCAGGTGGTCTTAAAGGGCCAGTACCCACAGTATGTCAAGACCCTTAAAGGGGCGTGCATGATTATGCCGATCTGTCTAATGTAGAAAAACACACACAAATACATCACAATACATATATTTGAGTTAGGAAATCATTCAGATTAAGTATACAGGAAAATAATCTTTATTTATCTAAAACTGTATGAAAATGTATTTCAAAACACATTTTATTGGATATCCACTTATGTGTTTCATTTAAATCATACAGTACAAATATATTACAGTAATCAAAATGCGTGCCGTGCAAATACAAGAATACGAGTGATAATAGAAAGAAACTAATTTGATTACCGCTTCGAAATCTTTTGATTTGAAATTTTTCAAAACAAATTCATCAAGTTAACTGATTTTAAAGCATTTTACACTTACAAACAAATATACAGTGCATTGACAGAGATGTGTTATTTAATAATTACAAATATATTAAGTATTCAAGGAATCAGATGATCATATAATAACTCAAATGTGCAGCGTGTAGACAGAAGTTACACTTCCAATTTCAATAACAATGATGGCTCAGTTAAAGGTTGAGGTTTCTCAGTTTCCTCGTTTGACCAAAATGCAGTGCTTTCAGCTTTTGTTGGCTCCTTGGACTTTACAAAACACAAATGTTTTGTAAGGACACTATGCATTGAAATTGTCACATTATACGTGATTATTGTCCAGTTAGCCTGTTGCATCATGGGAGAACATGTTGATTCCATGACAAGGCGCTTTTGAGGGCTACAGGGCACCAACTTGTTGTAGGGTACAGAAGACAATGGACTGTCCTGAATCTGAAAAAAAACAGAACAACATTAGCTAAAAACATCTTAAAGGGATAGTTCACCCAAAAATGAAAATTCTGAAATTAATTGCTATCCCTTATGTCGATCCAAACCTTTGACATTTCGTTCATTTTTGGAACACAATTTAAGATATTTTTGATGAAATCCGAGAGCTCTCTGCCTCTCCATAAATTCAAGGAATCAGATGATCATATAATAACTCAAATGTGCAGCGTGTAGACAGAAGTTACACTTCCAATTTCAATAACAATGATGGCTCAGTTAAAGGTTGAGGTTTCTCAGTTTCCTCGTTTGACCAAAATGCAGTGCTTTCAGCTTTTGTTGGCTCCTTGGACTTTACAAAACACAAATGTTTTGTAAGGACACTATGCATTGAAATTGTCACATTATACGTGATTATTGTCCAGTTAGCCTGTTGCATCATGGGAGAACATGTTGATTCCATGACAAGGCGCTTTTGAGGGCTACAGGGCACCAACTTGTTGTAGGGTACAGAAGACAATGGACTGTCCTGAATCTGAAAAAAAAACAGAACAACATTAGCTAAAAACATCTTAAAGGGATAGTTCACCCAAAAATGAAAATTCTGAAATTAATTGCTATCCCTTATGTCGATCCAAACCTTTGACATTTCGTTCATTTTTGGAACACAATTTAAGATATTTTTGATGAAATCCGAGAGCTCTCTGCCTCTCCATAAACAGCAAGGGTCCTACCACGATCAAGGCACAGAAATGTAGTAAGGACTTAGTTAAAATGGTCCATGTGACATCAGTGGTTCAACAGTAATTTTAGGAAGCTATGAGAATACTTTTTGTGTGCAAAGAAAAAAAAACTTTCTTAAAATTACGGTTGAACCACTGATGTCAAGGACCATTTTAATGACGTCCTTACTACATTTCTGTGCCTTGACCTTGGTAGGACCCTTGCTGTCTATGGAGAGTCAGAAAGCCTTGGATTTCATCAAAAAAATCTTAATTTGTGTTCCAAAGATGAACGAAGGTCTTGCGGGTTTGGAATGACATGAGGGTGAGTAATTAATGACCGAATGTTCATTTTTGGGTGAACTAACCCTTTAAATGCATCACATTCACACTCTATGGTGAGTTTTTAAAAGTCATAGATTTAAAAAAATGTTTAAAAAATAAAAATAAAAGGATTTGATTGTTTTATGAGTTTGGCTTCAAGCCATGGTTGAAGTTTGAGAAATCTTAAGCAGGAACCGAATTTTACTGGGTCTCAAAAACAAGTATGCATTATCTCTTGAGGAAAACACAAAACCTTTTAGCCTGTGAAGAGTTTGGCAATACATTCAGACAAATGTATTCAGATTAAGCAGATTAAGATGTACAAGGAAGTGCTGCCCGTAAGAGATGTCTGCTCACGAAGTGTGTAAGCATGGATTTGTGGAGATAACAGAAAAGGGTTGGATGTTTAATGCTAGCACAGGCAGAAAGATGTGTGAGAAGATACCGAACTCACTGTGGTAAGCATATTTTACAGATAAACATATATTAGCATGAAATTAGATTTCAGGAACTTTAGTAGAAGGATAACATGCTTTTACACAAGTTAAAGCAGCTTTATCTTACTTTAACTATAATTTGTCTTGAATGAACAAAGGAAAGTGGAGTTAGCAGCAGTATGCGTCATACTTTAGTCATAAATAACAAATCTGTATCCACAGGGCCTGTGGGTGTGTGAAGGTGTGTGTATGACTAACCTGGACGGATCTTCATCTTTGGTAAAAACTCCTTTTAGCTCAACACTGTTCATTTTATTCTCAAACCATCCGTAGCTGAGAGTCACCTTCAGTGTTAGAGGTCGAGAAACAAACAGGAAGAATAGATAACATGCTGTTAGAATTGAAAAGTAGTCTGATTTTAACTAACATCTCATTTTGGCCCAAAATGTGTTTTTTTTTTTACAGCTAAATATATTAACATCCAGTTCTATGAGGTAAAATAGTAGCCTTTAGTTCTTTGAGGTAAAATATTGGCATCTAGTTGTTTTTTGTTAAAATAGCATCCAGTTCTTTGTGGTAAAATATGAACACTCAGATCTTTGTGGTAAAATATTAGCATTCAGTTTTTTTTGTTTGTTTGTTTGTTTTGTGATAAAATATTAGCATCTAGATTTTTGTGATAATATATTAGCATCCAGTTCTTTGAGGTAAAATATTTGCCTTCAGTTCTTTGAGGTAAGGTATAGCATCCAGTTTTTGGTGGTAAAACTTTAGCATCTAGTTTTTTGTGGTAAAATATTAGCATCCAGTTTTGGAAGTGAAATATTAGCCTTCTGTTCTTTGGTGTAAAATAGCCTGCCGTTGTTTAAGTTAAAATTTTACTGTCCAGTTCTTTGAGCTAAAATATTAATATCAGTTATTTGAGTAATCTGTAGCATACTGTGGAAAGAAAAGAAAAACATTTTCAGAAGAACATTTTAATAGTTTTTGTCTGCGCTAAAGTTGCAAAATATGCTAAGTTGTTGTGACTGCTTGCCTGAGTGATTGTTAGCACTTTGCAAGGTGGATGCTAAGGTATTCTACAGTAGATGTTTCTAGGGCATTGCTAGGTGGTTGCTAGGTTAGTCTAAGTGATTGCTAGGGTGTTCTAGGTCAGTGTTTCCCAACCGGGGTGCCGTCTGTCGAGAGCAGGGGTGCCGTGTAAAAAATCCTTTTTTAATATTTTTAAATAGTTAAAATGTTCAAAAAAGCATATATTATATAATATCCATTTCTGATGTCGCCAATAATTAAAGATGCACCGAAATTTCGGCTGCCGAAAATTTGTTCACCGCTCAGGTTTCACTTTCACGTGGTGTGACACTCTGCGTATTATCCCACTCTATGCATGTGTGTGCTCCGCTCAGTCGCTCCACTTATATACCATTCATGTGAATCGGAACAGCAAAGTCCACTCAAAAATTGAGCCGACAGGAAACATTGATGTAGTACAGTATTGTTTCTGTCTGCAATAGCCCTACTGTGTTGTAACATGGTGTGGTATATGGGCAACTCTGGTATACCCTCTCATTCATTGATCTGCTAACCGCTATGTTATGCTGGCGTGTTCTGATAATAATTGCTTTCTAGGACTAAACATTATTTGGATAATTGGTAAAAAAAAAAAATAAAAAAAAAAGTTAAACATCTTAACTCTACTGTTAGACTGAAAAACTAAAAAGCTATTTATTTCATTCGAAGGCCTGTCGTTATTTTTTATTTGTGCTATCATTATTAATTTCTTTATTTGTTCTTATTTTATTACTGACTGCTTACTTGTCATTTTTTATTCAATTCAAAGTTTGAAATCAAGCTATATCGTGCTACTGCACCAAAATTACCCCACTGTAAAATTAAAAACACTAGACAAGTGTTTTACTTTTTACAAAAGTAAAACACTGAGTGAGCAAAAATTTGTGAGATAGCTAGTTAGTTAAAATGGTAATTAAATAATGTTTACATATGTATAAAAGCCTACATTCAAATCTGTCATATAAATTGGTCTCTTCATTAGAAAGTAGCCTACTGATTGCCACCATTGATGGACAAAAATGTTTAATAATATTAAAAATATCTGTATGACATTATATTCTGCAGTTCTTCCCTGTTGTACCGAATATCTATACTTTTCAAATTATCACATCGAAGTTAGAAATTCAAATATTGTGACAAAATTAATTTTGTAGGGTTCCACAAGTTTGTTAAAATTTCCAAAGGGTGCCGCGACTAAAAAAAGGTTGGGAAACACTGTTCTAGGTGGTTCAAAACATACTTAGAAAATGATTCTGATCCTTTCTTTTCAACATTTAGCATGATTCGAGCTGTGGTAAAGTTGCCATATGCTAAGGTGTTGTGAATGCTTGCCTGAGTGCATGCTAAAGTATTGCTAGGTTGCTTACTAGCCTAAGTCAAAAGATACTTTTGTCAAAAGTCAAAAGATGCTATCATTAATTTCCATACCAACACTTAAATACAAGCAATACTAACACCCACCACACCAAAAATCTCACCTGTTTTGGGATATCGCTAGGGGCAAGAAGAAGTAGGTTTTCCAGATGAGAGTGGAACATGGTGCTATGGACCATTGAGATTCCCAGACGCCTCTCAATTATAAAGCCCACCGTACAGTCATCAGGTAACATGATCACAGCGGAGG